CTCATTTATTTAATTTTTAAAGGAATATTTATATTTCAAACTCACTATTATAAGAAGGTACATAGTGCTTACTTCGGCAGCACATACACTAAAATTGGAATGATACAGAGAAGATCAGCATGGCCCCTGCACAAGGATGACTGGCAAATTAATGAAATATTCCTTATTTTGCTTTCCTTTTCTAATGTTTATGGGTGGAGAAACAGGCTCTGATAAGTGACTTCCTAACTGAGGGCCCTTCTGGTTTCAAATCCTACCCCCAATTCTTCCTCCTCCAGAAAGCAAAAAGTTATACAATGAAAAGTCTCCTTTGTACCTCTGTCTCCTGTTTGCTCTTTCCCTATCACCCATATCCTTCTTGAGAGTTTTCTGGATATTCAAGAAAATATGCATATATAATCTACTTTTTAATGCAAATAGTAGCATTCTTACACTCTACCGTATCCATTGATATTCCTCTTAAGAATATATCTTGGATATTATTCAGCCATAAAAAAGAATGAGGGGCGCCTAGCTGGCTCAGTAGAGCATGCGACTCTTGATCTTGGGGTTATGAGTTTGAGCCTTAGGTTGTAGAGATTACTTAAAAATAAAATAAGAAAAAAGGAATGAAATCTTGTCATTTGCAATGACATAGATAGAGCTAGAGAATATAATACTAAGTGAAATAAGTCAGTCAGAGAAAAACAAATAGCATATGATTTCACTCATATGTGGTATTTAAGAAACAAACGAGCAAAGGGAAAAAGAGAGACAAACCAAGAAACAGACTCTTAACTATAGAGAACACACTGGTGGTCAGCAGAGGGGAGGTGGGGTGAGGGGTTGGGTGAACTAGGTGATGGGGATGAAGGCGGGCACTTGTGATGGGCATTGGGTGATCAAAATAAAATCTTTAAAAAAACTTTAAAAATTTTAAAAAGAATATATCTTGGTGATTTTTTACATTAGTAGAAACATACCTTATGGCCCAGCAATTTCGCTTCTAGGAATGTAGCCTACAGTTGCTCTTAAGGACAGTATTGGGACAGCAGCAGTGTTTGAATGGGGACTGTATAGTATTTGTAATTTTGGTAGATGGTGTAGATTGGTTTAACTCCTGTGAAGGGCAATTTTACCTACAGAAATGGGGCACCTGGGTGGCTCAGTCGCTTCAGTGGCTGCCTTTGGCTTAGATGACGTCATGATTCCAGGGTCCTGGGATAGAGCCCCGCTCCCTGCTCCGCGGGGAGCATGCTTCTCCCTCTGCCTCTGCCCTTCCCCTCTGCTGGTGCTCGCTCTCTCTCATGCTGTCTGTCTCTCTCTCAAATAAATAAATAGAATCTTAAGAAAAAAAATGCTTTCACATGTAGAAAATTATATGTGTACATGGTTGGTGATTGAAAATTGTGAAAGATTGGAATTAACCTTAATGTTCATTAATAGAGACATGGTTAAATACATTATTCTATATCCATTCAATGCAATGGTTCATATTTGTAGAAAAGTCAGGTAGTTCTCTGCTTATATTAGATAATAATATTATATCAATGTCGAATTTGCTGAATTTGATAAAAAGCACTGCAGTTATATAAAAGGACGTCCTTTTTCTTTTTTTTAAGTTTTATCTTTTTTTTTAAGATTTTATTTATTTAGGGGCGCCTGGGTGGCTCAGTCATTAAGCGTCTGCCTTCGGCTCAGGTCATGATCCCGGGATCCTGGGATCGAGCCCCGCATCGGGCTCCCTGCTCGGCAGAGAGCCTGCTTCTCCCTCTCCCACTCCCCCTGCTTGTGTTCCCTCTCCCACTCCCCCTGCTTGTGTTCCCTCTCTCACTGTCTCTCTCTCTGTCAAATAAATAAATAAAACCTTAAAAAAAACCCTGGTTTTAGAAACTAAACCCAACATTTCCAGTAACCGTAGAAACAGTTAAAATTTGCCATGAAAGCCCTTACATCGTGCTTGATATAGGGAGGTAGGAAGATGCAAGAACCAGGACACATGAGACATGACATTTTATCTACAATGCCTGTTCGCTTTACTGAGGGTGTAGTTTCAAAATTCAGTCACCTTCTTCAGCTTCAGACTCAGATTCTTCTTTAACACCTTTGAGCTACTCTACAAACTTTTTCATTTGCTCAAGGAAGACACTTCTCCCCTTTGCAACATGTGCATCTTTATACAACTTCAGAATGGGCTTTTCACTCAGGACTTCAGGTTTATAAAAAAGCACCACTATTTTCTGGAAGGCTTTCATGAAATGAATGTTGTCATAGCAATACTCTTGAATCTTCAGTAACAGTCAGCTCAGACTGACCTTGGGTAGTAAAGGCAGCAAGTAATGGGCTGTATTGCTTCAAGTGCCTGATGGCTTGCTCTGCTACCAGACTATTCCAATGACAACGGGTTCTGGGATGTTGTTTTTGTTTTTGTTTTCATCTCCTCCTTGACATACAAAATTATATCCTTACATGGATCACCACAGGACATCTGTTCTTGAAGTTCTTTCTGGAGTTCCTCTCGAGCTCTCGGGTTTGCTAATTCTGAACATATTCTGAAAGTTCTTTCAAGCCTGCCTCAGTGAAATACTTGGTGAAGTGTTCAACGCTATGTTTATTGGCAGGAAAAAAGACTTGCAGCTACTGCATAGATATCTTTTTCATGTATTCATGATTTAAAGAGCTTTACGGCAAAAGCTGCTGAAACCCCTTCTTTAACCAAATTCTCATTAGAAAAGCTATTAAGAATGGATGCATTAAGTGTCCCATTAGCCAGAAGAACACCGATCAACATAGCCAGCTTGTTCTTCTCTGACTCTGAAAAACCCTTTAAGAACTGCAGCAGCTTTTTTACTTCATCTTCAAAACCTTTCTCCAGGTATTTGTAGTGCCTGATTGACTTGTTAAAAACCTGAGCAAATGTTTGCATGGTCTCCAGGTCTTCTTGTGCTGCGAACACACAAACATCTGCGCATCATGTCCAAGAGTGTTTCTGCATGTCGGCGGTAATCAAGTTTTGCTCCAGAAGCATCGAGACACTTTGCTACTGCTTCCAAATCAGCACCAGTTTCAGTGAAGCCTTGAATAGTACAGTCTTGAAACTGAGTATGGTCATACCTCTCTTTTTCATCGTTTTTTCTGGTTTAAAACGCTGGCCTGATAGCGCTGACTTTTGCTGCTTTTGATTATTCATAAAAGACATCCTAATTTAAGGCGACGAAAAAAGAGCCGGAAATCCCCGATGCGGCAGCAACTGTGGAGGTGTCTCTTCTCCCCAAATAAGTTTTGGATTATTGTTTTATGCGTTTGTCTTTTAAATCAGTTAAGAGAAGAAATGAGAAAATTATATACTTCTACAGTCTTTTATATTTACCCTACATGATTCTCTTTAGTTCTTTGTGAGGGTTTGCGTTACCATCTGGTGTCATTTCCCTTTCAACCTGTATTAGGGTCTTCCTTTAGTATTTCTTATAAGGAAGATCTGCTAGCAGTAAGTTCTCTCGATCTTTGTTTCTCTGGGGATGTTTTTATTTCACCTTCATTTTTGAAATACAGTTATGCCGGATGTAGAATTCTCGTTTGACAGATTTTTTTCTTTCAGCATTTTGAATTTCTAATCCTACTACCTTCTGGCTTTCCATTGTTTCCGATGAGTAGTCTGCTATTAATCTTACTGTGATTCTCTTGTACCTAGAGAGCTGGTTTTCTCTTACTGCATTCGAGATTTTCTCCTTGCCTTTGATTTTCAACATTTGACTATGATGTGTCTAGGTATTGATGTGTTTGTGTTTAGCTTACTTGGAGTTCTTTGAGCTTCTTAGATGTAGATTAATGTTCTTCATCAAATTTGGGAAGTATTCTGCCATTGTTTCTTCAAAAGAATTACCTCCTTTTTTTTTCTCCCTTCTCTCCTCTCCTTGTAGGACTCTAATTACATGTATGTTAGTACACGTGATGGTGACAAGTCTTTGAGGCTTTGTTCGTTTTTCTTCATTCTCATTATTTCTTTTTCAGACTGGACAATTTATATTGATCTATTTGGAGTTCATTGATTTTTCTATCAGTTCACATCTTCTCTTGAGGACTTCTTGTGAATTTACATTGTAGTTATTGTACTTTTCAACTCCAAAATTCCATTTGCTTTTTTCCAATTTCTAACTTTTTATTGATGAGTCATTGTTATATTATCTTACAACTTTTTTTAAAGATTTATTTATTTATTTTAAAGATTTTATTTATTTGAGAGAGATAGCAAGAGAGAGCATGAGCAAGGTGGAGGGGCAGGGAGAGAGGGAGAAGCAGACTCCCTACTGAGCCGGGAGCCAGGCATAGAGCTCGATCCCAGGACCCTGGGACCATGACCTGAGCCAAAGGCAGATGCTTAATGACTGAGCCACCCAGGCACCCCTAAGGATTTATTTATTCATTTGCAGGGGAGAGGGAGAAGGACAGAGAGGATCCTGAAGCAGACTCCCTGCTGAATGCAGAGCCTGATGCAGAGCTCTATCCCAGGACCCCAAGATCATGACCTGAGCTGGAATCCAGAATAGGCAATTTAACCGACTGAGCCACCCAGGTGCCCCTATCTTGTAATTTTTTGAACATGGTTTCCATTTGGTTCTTTGAACATATTAATAATAACAGTTTTGGGCGCCTGGGTGGCTCAGTCGTTAAGCAGCTGCCTTTGGCTCAGGTCATGATCTTAGGGTCCTGGGATCGAGTCCTGCATCAGGTCCCTTGCTCAGCAGGGAGTCTATTCTCCCTCTCCCCCTGCTTGTGCTCTCTCTTTCTCTCTCTCTCTCAAATAAATAAACTCTTAAAAAAGTAATAGCAGTTTTGAAGTCTTTCCTGCTAATTCCAATATCTAGAACTTTTCAGAGACAGTTTTTATTGACTGATTTTTTTTCCTGTGTATGGATCATTATTTTACCCCTTCTTTGTGTCTGTTTTAATTTTTTGTTGAAAACCGACTATTTTAGGTGCACCTGGGTGGCTCAGTCAGTTAAGCGTCTACCTTTGGCTCAGGTCATGATCTCCAGGTCCTGGGATTGAGTCCCATGTCGGGCTCACAGCTCAGCGGAGAGTCGGCTTCTCCCTCTCCCTCTGCCTCTCCCCCTGCTTGTGTGCTCTCTCTCCCTCTCTAATGAATAAATAAAATCTTTAAAAAAAAATAAAATAAAAATTTCTTTAAATGG